AGGACGGCGCTCCGCCGCGCCTCCAGGCGGGCGCCACACAGCCGCTTGTTGGCCACCTGCGGCCTCTCCAGCCACACGGCCACCGCCGCCCAGAAGCCCCCCGGGAGCAGCGCGCCGGGGTCGCGCACCACCACCCGGCCCACCTCCGCCATGGCCCCTCTGAGCGCAGACAGCCGGGCGGCGGCGCGCCGCGATGACGCACCCCGGCGGCGCGGCGTGTGGCGTCATAGAGGCGGGGCGCTGGGGCGGGAAGCGAAGGGGCGAAGATGCCCCGAGCGTCTTCCCTGGCGCGATGGCCCCGGCGGGCTTCGCTTGTGGCGTTCTCGGCTGAGACGTTAACCTCTGCTTCTTTCTCTGGGGGTCCACCCAAGCCGTGCTGGTGCCTGATAGAAACACGATCCGAGCTGGGTAAGGAGGAGAGTCCTAGGCGCTGTGCTGATGGAATCGGAAAGCTCGTGCCGCGTCCGACGTCCGGTCGCCTCCGGTCCCGGTGACTGAGCAAGTCGCGGCGCCCCGGCCCTGGGGTCAGCACGACTGCCTGAGGGAGGCCCGCTCTTCTCCCCTTTCGTCCTGACGCGCTCTCCGGGGGGGACAGTGCGGCGGCGCGTCCTGCGGCCGAACGCAGCCCTGCTGCTTCTGTGACAGGTGCACGTCAGCTGTCACCTGCCTGTCCCCAGGAGGAACGGGGAAGGTTCGGTGCTGCCACATCAGGCCAGCATCACCAGCACAGTCTGCAGAATCTAGTGATGTTCCAAAATCCTCGAGGCTTCTTCACTCTTGCTGTACCTTAGTCCCTCCCTTGGGATTTGGCCATTCCCTAAGGGGTCTCTGTCAGAATGAGAGAGAAGTGAAAACGAACTCAAATCATGTGATTTATCAGAGAGGAGAGCATGGACCAAATGTCTGTGGAATTAAGTAAGAGATAAATAGTGACACGACCTCGTAGCCACTCCTGTTATGCCAGCCCTTTCAGGCTTTGATCACGTCGTTGAAGTGTACGCTGTCCGTATTCGTTTCCTAGAGCTGCCATAACGAGTTACCACAAACCGAGTGGCTTAAACTATCAGAAATCTGTTCTCTTACAGCTCCGAAGGCTCTTACTCCCTGCCTCTCTCAGCTTCTGGTGGTTACCAGCGATTGTTAGCTTGGCTGGTAAGCCACATAACTCCAATCTCTGCCTCCGTGGTCACATGGCTGCCTTCTTTTGTTTCTCTGTATCTTCTCCTACAAAGACTCGATTTCCAAATAAGGTCACGGGTACTGTGGGTTAGGACTTTTGCATATCTTTTGGGGGAGGAGGACGTAATTCAATCCCCAACTCTGTCCAAAGATGTTTAGCCTGGTTGGGGCAGCCAAAAGACTAATAATTATAAATCTTACTAGTTGCTAACGTGTGAGGGGACCTCAGCTAAGCACTGAGGGTGCAGAGGTAAATAAGATCCTGCCCTTGAGAAACCTTCAGGCCAATAGTGGAAGCAGACAGAAGAACAAGACGATGATTATACAGGGGTTAGAGGTTGCAGAAAGAGGGAAATTTTTTACTCTCTAAGGTCCCTCCTGTCTTGAAGGAAGGTGTTTTGAAAGGAGGACTCTGACAACTGAGTTAAATAGCACCAACATTGTAAAAAAATCTGCAAGGGAGTCCTGACTTCAGAAGTCCTGGCTGTCTAAATAAAGGGCACAGAACAAAAGGAATAGTTCCCAAGGGTGTACTAGTTTCTTCACCATGGAGAAAAACAAATCTTCCCATTGTTACCACACAAAATTGGGGTTCTCTTGCCAAATGCACATAAACAGCCAATTAATCAGCCTTTGGGAAAAGAGATCAGCTTTATTCTGTGAGATCAATCTGCATGGAGGCAGGGAGCATGTGCCCTCACATCTGTCTTCCCAATTCAGCATTTGGGGCAAAATTTAAGAGGTTAGGGAGAACAGGCTGACACATGGATGCTGGCAGGACAAGTTTTGATTGGTAGGCTTCAAGCATTTATGGTAAGGTTTTAAACATTTATGATAGGGTTCTAAACATTTATGATGAGGTTCTAAACATTTATGACAGGGCTCTAAACATTTTTGATGGGGTGGGGAGGGAATTTTAACACCAGATCTTCCTGAATGAGGGACCCCTCGCTTCTGATAAGAGTCCGACTTTCCAGTTCCAGTCATGTCCCAGTCCTTGGGTTCCGTGGGAAGGAGGAATTGGTTCTGCGTTCATTTCAGGTCAAGATTTCCTCTTCTTCACATGCTCTGGATACGTGACTTTGCAGATTTTCTGAAAGGCAATTCTTCATCACTGTTGATAAAGGATGGGGTCGGCTGAACTGGTCCTGGAGGGCCCACAGTTACAAATCCTTCCTTTTTGTTGTTCATTCCTCAATCTTGAGGGATATAGGGTGACAACTGCTCTTGCTTCTTCCTGCTGATAAGGGGCTTAGGTTGTTCCATCTCATTGAACCAGTCTCTTAGTAAGACAGTGATGAAGGTGGTCTTCCAAAGTTGTGGCTACATTGTGTAAGCAAGTAACCAGGTATTTAATAAGAAACATTTCTAGAGAAATAAAAAGAAAAACAAGTTTAATGGTTGGAGCAAATTATAAACCAGCTTCTGAGCCCAGGGGGCAACCAGTCAAGAAGATTTTAGATGTCAGAGTTGAAGCATTTTTTGCAGTTTGAAATGTCTTTGATGACATCATTGGGTGTTCAGGTGTCTTTCTGAGTAGCTTACACAGCAACAGGCATGAAGCTCTCTTAAGTTTATATCAAGTTGTCCAGCTGCAGTTTTCAGGGCTTCAGGAAAAAGGGCAGGTTCAGTTCTCAATGGTGGAAAAAAATCAAAAACGTTAGTTTGGAGATTTGTAGCCAGATATTTCAGGAGACTAGAAGAATTCAGGATCCAGTCCAGTTTACAGATATAAAACAAAAACCTCAAAGACAATTATCAGGGGCTGGCCCAGTGGCATAGTGTTTAACTTCGTGCGCCCCGCTTCAGTGGCCCAGGGTTCGCATGTCCGGATCACGAGTGTGAACCTACACATCGCTTAATCAAGCCATGCTGTGGTGGCGTCCCATATACAAAATAGAGGAAGATGGGCACAGATGTTAGCTCAGGGCTAATCTTCCTCACCAAAAAAAAAAAGAGGAGGA